AAAAAAAAAAAAAAAGAATGAGCTACTGGATTCTCTCCTGATAGGCTCTTCTCTGAAAAAGTAAGGGGAGCAGGCAGGGTGGCCCTGAAGGGTGAGGTCATTTGTTGCATATATGGAGCTGACCAGAAACCTGAACAAAGGTGGCGGGCCTCTGATGGGGGGCTCTGTGGAGTTCAGCCCTCCAAACTGTGCTGGTGGCAATGGAATTACTACAGAGTTACCTGCTACAGGTAGGAGACCAGATCACCAAGGGCGATTCCTGTGGAAAATGACAAGCTTCAGATGTGGAAGCTGTACCCTGGGTCAGACTGTCATCCATCATGGCCTATGCTCTGTTTAACTCTGTTCTCTTTGCACTGAGCCTTTACCACAAACTTATTTCAACATTTCCCCTTGTCTCAGGTCTGCTGCAAGAGAGCAAGGGCAAGGCCATTTGTCTATCCATTCATTCAAGGAAAAGCAGTCTCACACCAAGGCCACCTTGGAATTATCTCTTCCCATCAGGAGAGGATCTTTTAATTTTGGGTTTGGTTTTGTTTTAGATGGGGTGGGGGGGAAGGGAGGGGCAGAGAGAGAGAGAGAGAATCTTAAGCAGGCTCCACGCTCAGTGCTGAGCCCAGTGCGGCACTCGATCCCATGACCTAAGCCGAAATCAAGGGTTGGATGCTCAAGTGACTGAGCCACCCAGGAGCTCCTATTTTTTTCTATTAAGTACATGACTTCACCTAAAATTTTCACCTTATTAGTAATGTGGTTAGCAAATGTTTAATAGAATAACATATGGATGAATAACATATGGACAGTGCTATATGAACATAAAGTAATGGTACTCAGTTTCATCTCACCCTATATTTGAATGATCATAAAATCCAGATTTTTTAATATTTTAAGACTATAAGCACTGATAATGGTCTCCCGTGTTTATAAATCAAAGCACTTAAACAATATGGTAATATATTACCTAAGTCTCTAAATCAAGGGTTGGCCAAGTCTGCCTGGAAAGGGCCAGACAGTAAATATTTTAGGCTTTGGTGGCCAAATGGTCACTGCTGCAATTACTTAATTTTGTCACTGTAGTACAAAAGCAGCCGCAGACAGTGGTATACACGTGTATTGACATACATCCAATAAAACTTGACTTACAAAAATGGGTGGCAGGCCAGATTTGGCCCGCAGGCCTTAGTTTGCTGGCTCTTGCTCTAAACAATTTATGAAATGGGTAACAAGGGTATTACTACCCATTTTAAAGATGAAGCAGCCTAAGATCAGGCAGTTAAACACAAACCACAGGCCAGCCTCTCGAAATACAAATGGGAACAAGACACAGTTCCTCCCTTGGGAGGTGGTGTAGTGCAGCAGCGTGGAGCCCTTTCTAACTGTGTGAGCTTGGGCAGTACTTAACTGCTCAGCCTCGTCTTCCTCACCTGAAGATCTCGCCACAAGGCTGTGACTGTTAAATGAAATAATGCTGTAAAACATTTACTGTAATGTTTAACGTGCGCTAAATACTCAGTGTTTTATTATTATTGATTTCATTATCATACTTGGGATTTGAATAAACTAAAGAAGAGAATAAAGACCCCATTCCTAAGTATTCTTGGGGAGACTAGAGAAGATTTCAAAATCAAATGAGTAAGGATTTAAAAAAGTGCTAGCTTCTGCTATGAGAATAATAGGTAATAGAGGGAACCACATAAGCAAATACCTGGGCATAAGGGATGGCACGGCCTGTTCTGGGTCAAGGTGAATGACAGAGCATGGAGGATACAGGAGATACAGCTTGGAAAAATAGACTGCAAAGGGTCCAAAATGCCAAGCATGGGATTTCTTCTGTCAGATACAGGGAACCTAAAGTTTTTGACCTAAGGAATAACATGACTAGATAATCCCTCCAGCAGTATTTTAGAAGATGGAAGGGAGGAAGCTAATACTTAGTGGCAGAATTAAAAGGCTATTATAATGACCCAAGCTGGAGATAATGCTAGAATAAGGTGGTGGGCATGGGAAACATTCAAGAGCTATTTTGAGGGAGGTCTATGGATAAGATTTAGTGATTTTTGTAGATGCATAGTATCTCCCCAATTAGATTGCAAGACACTTGAGGGTAGACAAGATGCATTTCCTCAAAGTGCTTAAGGCAGTAGTGGACAGTCCTGGCTTTATACTTTATTAGCTGTATGCATCAGAATCTGGACTGAAATGCTTGTAGTTTGCTGTAGCTACCAACCGTCACCTTGCTTACCTCTTACAGCTGTGCCAGTAAAAATAACACATACAAACTCAAATCACAACCACATATAAAAGGTGTATCATAGAAGTTCTTGACTTCTTGTAGCTAATGAACCACAGTAATTCATGCTTTTCCCCGTATTTGTTGAAAACCCACTATGTGCAGCATCCATACAACAGATCAGCTAAGACGGTGCAAAGCAGGCACCCGGGTGTCCCTGATTCTGAAGGCGTCATGACCCGGGTGTCCCTGATTCTGAAGGCGTCATGGCCATTCTGACGAATTCTTCAGCTGCCTGTGGCCACTCTGTTAATTTTTCCACTTCTCTTCTCTTTCATTCACCTCTCAGTTCTCACCTTGAAGTCATTTTAATTAAGCTTGATTTTAATTAGGCTATCAGAAAATATGATAAAAAAGGCAATAATAGGAAATGAAGCTCAGCCAGTAGGTTAGCTAAATTTAAGCAGAGCAGAAAGGGAAGAAGAAAAACTACTGCTAAGAATGAGTCTTCTTTCATTTTTAGGGATTCACATCAGATATAGCACTAATTAGCAGAGACAAGTCATCTGCGTAAGTATTTACATACACAAAAGCATGCACTCCTTTACACAAAAATACAGCACTCCTTCACACAAAATTACAGCTCCTATTGACAGTTTTCAATAAGATAAAGTTAAGGCAGCTAAACAAATGTTTCCTTCCAATTTTGTTAGTGTATTTTTGTATTCTAGCAAAGGACAGGGAAGCACTCCATCCTAAAAAGCATCTATTTTCAGAAGTGAATTTAGAAAATATTCCAGATGAATAGTTCTAAAGGTTGGGTCTTAATTTCTTAAACTCCAAATTCAGTGTTTTGAGGTCAAGTTTTATTGGTGTTTAATAATGCACATCAGATCAGATAAAATCTTTAAGGTTTTGCTTTGACAGCCAGAAGAAGTATTTACAAGTGCATATTGTTCTTCTAACAGTTTTAATAAACCAGATATAAACTTTAACTTCCTCTTCTGATACTCTCCAAGTTACATGAATAAATAATCAGCAATAAGATCTTAGGTAATTTCCCAAGAGGGCTATTGCTGAAGCAGAAACCAACTTCATCATCTTTGATGTCTATTAAAAGTCATAAATGGAAATCCCAGGTCACTCTTTGACAAATGCTCTTTCTCCTACTGGCTTTCAATACAGTTAAACAGCCTAAACCTGAGCCAGAATATGAGCACTCATGGAAATCACCTCTGATGCTCTCTCAGATTAAAAAAAAAAAAAAAAAGACTTTACATTTAGCTTCCCACATGAATTTTTTTTATTTATTTATTTTGAGATTATTTATTTATTTATTTTGAGAGAGAGAATGAGAGACAGAGAGCATGAGAGGGAGGAGGGTCAGAGGGAGAAGCAGACTCCCTGCCGAGCAGGGAGCCCGATGCGGG